CTGTCTGGGGCCCGGGTGTATATGGGAGGATAGATGCAGAGTGTAATGTAAAATCTGTCATTGTTTACTCAGTCGTGTCACTCCAAACACATATGTTCTTGTTTTCTGACAGAAGACTGTCTTGTGACACAGACTAAAATCTAATATTGCATTTGCTGAAGGATATCTGCCGTATATCTGAGAGGGCAGCGTGGGGTCAGACAGTGAGTGGTACTGTATATGCACATGTTCGGAGGGTAAGAGGGCAGAGGTCAAGGGGTCGGTGAAAGCAGACCTGCTCATTGGTGTGATCTGATCTTAGAGGGGTGAAAGGTCACTGACTTAAACAGAAATCATATCTAGTGGGCGCTACGGTGAGAGGTTTGGATGGTTAGCTTCAGAAAGTTAGTACCTGCTCGTAAGAAGCCTGTTTTTTCTATTGATGAAAGCAGCGTTAGTTTAAGTGTTAATTTAGTATTTGTGTGTGTGTGTGTGTGTGTGTGTGTGTGTGTGTCTGAGCAAAGGGTCTGAATACTTAGGACCATGTGATATTTCAGTTTTTCTTTTTTAATAAATCTGCAAAAATGTCAACAATTCTGTGTTTTTCTGTCAATGTGGTGTGCTGTGTGTACATTAATGAGGAAAAAAAATTAACATAAATGATTTTAGCAAATGGCTGCAATATAACAGAGTGAAAAATTTAAGGGGGTCTGAATACTTTCCGTACCCACTGTATATATATATATATATCAGTTTTCATTTTACCTTAATTTTTCCTTTAATTAATTCAAAATCAACTTTTTTAACTTTAATTTAAAATCTCTAATTTAATAAATTTCGAATTTACTATATAATTTTATGTACTTTTGTCATTTTTTAAAATTAATTAATCAGTCAATCTTTTTGAGTATTACTCCGTTTAATTTATTTCAACAGAGTTTAATTTGTTTAATTTATGTTTTAGTTCAGTTTTAATTTACAAAATATTTATTTACAGTTAGTAATTTAATTTCCTCAACGTACTTATTTCAGTTATTTCAGCAACATTTCTAATTTTCGTTTAGTTTAAGACTTTATTTTATTTTATATTTTAGCAAAAATGTTTTTAATAGTTTTAAGTTTAGTTGATTATAACCCTGGTCAAAACTATACCTGGCATTTTCTGATAAAAGCAACATGTATATGCAATATTTTACTACAATATAGAAGGTATTTCACCAGTGACCAATATTTTATTTTACAAGTGTGAAATGGGCTAAATATGCTATTGCGATGGATGGGAATGCTAATGAATAGCTATCGCTGGGTATCACAGACTATACACAGTATGTGAAACAAACATGGTTTGTCAATTTATTTTTTATTTATTGGTTTATGCTGAAGTCAAAAAGACTAATAAAAGTTCAATGATGTTTGTGCTCATTAAATTTACATGAAACAAACTCCTTTGCATTAAGCATTCAAACTCTCCTCAGAGATGGTGATTAGCAGTGTGAGAACGTGTTCAAGTTTGAGTTTGGTGGGAGGTGGCCAGGTGAATTCTGGGTAGCACCCAGGCATTCTGTTGTAGTAAATAGATCAGTGTTCTCAATAATTCAGCCTGCTAATGAATGTTGCAGGGGCAGATGTGGGACCAAACCTCCTCTAATCGACAGCTTATGGCGTTAGCCCGCAGTGTTCGGTTTCCACGGCTACGGTTGATTGACAGGGGACATACAAAATGCATGTGTGTCATGCATGCATTCAGCTAGCGTTTCAGAGTCTGTCTCAAGCCTTTGACCCCCTCTGCTCTCTTACGGTAATGAAGAGGGTACATGATTAAACGGCACCCTTATATAGAAGTCCCATAAGCACGCTCAAGGTGATCTGCCTGCTTAAGATCACGTTGATATTTATTTAAACGTATTGATAAATTAAGTTTTGTAGTTTTGTGGAATGGGCAGCTCATAATTAGTCATGTCGACAGCTGTTTCAGTTTTACAGTCGATATGAGGTGATGCACGTGAGCTTGACGTGTTATCTTTGTGATCTGGTTTGTATGAGTTCAGCCACAAATAGTCTCAAGGTTGCACATGATGCTTCAATTGCTGATGAAGTGGGCTCAAGAACAGAAAGTTCTCATCACTGTTGCACATCCGTCTGACAGTCACAACAGAGAGTTTAACCAGGGGCCTGTACCATGATGGTGGCTGAACAAACTCGGGGTTACAGGATTAGTTTTGAGTTGACGAAACCAAACCAGTCCAATCCGGCTTTGTTGGTACCATGAAGCTCATCATCAACTTTCTCTGTCAACTCAGGCTTGATCCTGAGGTAATGGAGCACGTGCACATGAAAGAGTGACATCAGTAATGAACAGCCAATCAGATGCCTTGAAACTGTGATTCACTTCTTGAGAGAGAGTCAGTGCGATTCACTACCAAAGATTAAAATATTGAACAATATGAAGAATTTAAACACATTTACAAGATGACACGATCTATCCATGAAAGAGGAAAACTTAAAGAAAACATCTTGCCTTATAAGTGCAAGTAAAAGTTGTAAAGTTAGTTCATAGAGTTGATCATATTTATACACTCTTAAAAATAAAGGTGCTTCAAAAGGTTCTTCAAGCGATGCCATAGAAGAACCATTTTTGGTTCCACAAAGAACCATTCAGTCAAAGGTTCTTTAAAGAACCATCTCTTTCTTACCTTTTTGTAATCTGAAGAACCTTCTTTCGCCACAAAGAACCTTCTGTGAAACAGAAAGGTTCTTCAGATGTTAAAGGTTCTTTATGGAACCATTTAGACAAAAAGGTTCTTCTATGGCATCGTGAAGCACCTTTATTTTTAAGAGTGTAGGTATAAAAACACTTAAAAATCAAAGCTCATATGTAGTCATGTTTAAAGCTATTGATCCTAAAACGTATTTATATTGCATATTATCTATACGTTTATATTAATTTAAAATAAAAGCTTGATAATTACTATTAAACTAAACTAGCTTGTGTAATGGATTAAGGGTATAATAATTATAAAAAAACAATCATCTCTAAATTCAGACTATTTTATAGTCCTTTAATTTGGAGTAAGAGAAACTGGGGGAGTGGCTTTATTGCATCAGACATGTCACCTTGCCTGAAGCTGATTGGTCAAATTTCACGATGTCATAGAAGAACCATTTTTGGTTCCACAAAGAACCATTCAGTCAAAGGTTTTTTAAAGAACCATCTCTTTCTTACCTTTTTGTAATCTGAAGAACCTTCTTTCGCCACAAAGAACCTTCTGTGAAACAGAAAGGTTCTTCAGATGTTAAAGGTTCTTTATGGAACCATTTAGACAAAAAGGTTCTTCTATGGCATCGTGAAGCACCTTTATTTTTAAGAGTGTAGGTATAAAAACACTTAAAAATCAAAGCTCATATGTAGTCATGTTTAAAGCTATTGATCCTAAAACGTATTTATATTGCATATTATCTATACGTTTATATTAATTTAAAATAAAAGCTTGATAATTACTATTAAACTAAACTAGCTTGTGTAATGGATTAAGGGTATAATAATTATAAAAAAACAATCATCTCTAAATTCAGACTATTTTATAGTCCTTTAATTTGGAGTAAGAGAAACTGGGGGAGTGGCTTTATTGCATCAGACATGTCACCTTGCCTGAAGCTGATTGGTCAAATTTCACTTTGAGATCTCTAAACCAGAACATAACCTGCCCCAGAGCAGGTTAGCTGTGGAGTATAAGTTACTAAGGTAATGAATGACGCTAAAAGCCAAGCCACTTTCATGGTACCTAAAACCCAGGATTGGTGCAAACTAAACTGAAACTTACCTGGCTAGCCAGCTAATCTGGCTTCATGGTACAGGCCACTGAGCTAGTGCTTATTGACAACCAACTAAACAATAGTAAGCCATTCTGCATATATTTCATTGTGAATGTAGCTTATCTTTCAGAACAATATATTTGTTTTCAGGATTTATTAAAAAACATTTTATGGGATTTTTTATATTGTATATGACTGATATATATATATATATATATA